AAATTTGTATTTTAAAAATTAAAAAATTAAATTAAATTTATTAAAAATAAATAAAGAGAGTATATTAAAAAAAAAAGAAAAAAAGAAAAGAAAAAGAAAAGGAGAAACCCTACTGCTCTAACGTAACGCAGCATAAAGACACAAAAACCTAAAAACGAAGAAAATAATTTCTTTTCATAATTTTTAGTATAGTATTTATTTATTGCCCTATCTTAAACGCCACCGTCTAGTTTTAACCCCAAAAACCAAAAATACGATTTGCCCTTCGGTCTCACTTAGCGAAGCCCCTGAGAGGACTACCCTTCGCAAACTCTTCTCACTTCTCCTTCTCCGCCGATCTCACCGCTCCGGCACTCTTGCGCTCGTCTTTCGCAGCATCGTAAGTCTCAACCTCTGTTCTCCCATATATTGATATCGTCGCAGCCTCTGATATATTTTGGTACTTGTTCTGTGCTTGAGATTTCAAATTGATTCTTTAATATATATCCTGTTAAGAGATCACTTGGCTTTCCTGTTGTAAGTCGCTAGACTATAATTTCTTGGCGGTCTTATATTTTCTTTAGTGATTTGGGTACTGTTTCTGCCTCTTGGATTTGAGTTTTTCTCTTAAAAAAAATGGCTGTCAAATACCCATTAGGGTAAATAGCTATATTAGTTAGGTGAGTGTGGAGGTGTTTGGGATTTATTATAGAAGGGGTCTGCGGTTATGTTTTTTCTAAGTGGGGTTTTAAAGTGAAAAAGCATTTAGAGTTGTAAGATTGATCTCAATGAATCAACTTAGGGGTCTATTCAGTATGGAAATAGCATGTTTGTACAATTAAATTGATTAGACCAATGCCAAGAAAACAATATTTATTAAAAATATTTTAATTCTAGGTTCATTGCTCGAATTCAAGCTTTGATCTTGGCCTTGGATTGGCGTGTTTTGGACTAGCAAATATTCTGGTAAGGGCCACGGTATTAACCTCCCAGAAAGAAAACCTCTGCTTTTGTGCGTGATTCTAAACTATTTTGTGTTAATTTTTCTGGTTAAGAAGTGGGTTTTATGCTGTCCAATTTTCTGTTCTAAATAAACCTGTATTTGGCTCAAAATCTTGCTGCAATTGATTCCTGTTAAAGGCTTGAACTGTGTCTTGTTAAAATCGTAATGTGTACCTTGGTTTTGCTTGATTTATTGTCAGAAAAGCATGCATTTGTTGGTTAATTTTCTGCTCTGTTTGCTCAGTGTGAATTGTTAAAGCTGTAAAAACAGCACCAGTTTAATGGTTTTAGGACGAAGGTCAAGAACAAAAACAGCCTTAAACAGCCCAGATTTTGAAATACATATTGATGCTGTTTTTCTGCCTTAAAACCCTTTGTTTCTACTCACTAAATTGCTGGTTTTCTGCTCTGTTTTACCCTACTTTTTTACCTGTTCCTACTTGTTTTGCATCTGAAAAATGTGCATTTTGTCTGTTAAAAAGAAAAAAATGTTGCACCAATGCTCAGTTTCATGCTGTAAGAGCAGTGACTGTTCATGTAATTTTATATTTAAGAACAGCCCAGATTTTAGATACAAATAGCTGCTAAATTATGCTCTGTTTCCCCAGAAAATCTTGAGTGTTTTGTTGCTGTCCTGCCAAAATTTTGAGCATTTTTATTGTCATTTTTAAGCGTCAAAACCCCTGCTGCAAATGCCTGGTTTTGGCAGCCATTTAAACTTGATTTAAACATATATATTTCTGATTTATTAGATTTGGTTGGAGAGCTTGGGTTTAGGTAAAGTCTTGTAAGGCCATTTGTGAGGTTTGGTTGGTATTGAGGGCTGCTGCTGTATGGTAATGTAAAAGGGTGCTGCTGGAAAGGTATACTTGTAGTACATGTTTAAACTTGATTTAAGAAGTAATTGAAAATTTACTCTGCCTTTTGAGTGCTCAAAGACCATAAAATTCTTGAGGTGGAGATGTTTAAACCTAGAAGTGTTTTCTTGAGGGGACTTGATTTAAGATATGCGGTTGGAAATTTGGAATCATGAATGGGAACACATTATTTATTAAGGGAACATGAATGGAACTTGTTGAGAGAGGTAACGGGTTGGATATGGAAATGAAGTTGCAATTGACAAATTAATGTTGTGAATTAGAAAATTTAAGCTTGGTCATGACTCCCTTTGAAGACAGTGCTTTTTTGACTAGTTCATTTGTTTTCCAGCATTGATATATATATTCTTTTCTTTTATTTGCAGAGAGTAATGGCTGAGCACAAGGAGCCAGTAAATGAGCAAGCAGTTGCAAATGCCTATGCATCTATGAGATCTGAACTAAATCAGATTTACTCAAAGATTACTGAGTTGGAGATGGAAGTGAGTGAGCATTCCCTGGTCATTAATGCTATTCAGCCGCTTGACCCAACTAGACGGTGCTACCGGATGATCGGTGGTGTGCTAGTGGAGAGAACCATCAAAGAGGTCCTTCCAGCCGTGCAACGCAATAAAGATGGGCTTGAGGAGGTAATTGCTCGGCTTAATGAGGCTCTGGAAAAGAAGAAAAAGGAAATTGCGGAGTTTGAAGCTAAATATAAAATTAGAATAAAGAAGCCTGATAGTGAGGTAAAAGATGAAAGTGGCAAGAAAGAAGGATCTGCTCAGGGGGTTCTTGTTGGTCCTGCAAGTTCTGCAGGCTCGAGTGAGTAATAGGTCCTCTTCCTTGTACTTCTCTTACCCCTTACATATTCTAAAAATATGCTGGATAAATTTTTTCTTGTTAAATTGGGTTTTAGAGAATCGGAATGCTTTGATCTTTGTAACAATATTGATGAATAGCGGATTTCCCCTTTCAGTTGTAACTTAAAAGAACCAGTGTGTTTGGGATACTTTGGATTTGCAGCATGCCAAGATATTTATGTTTTAGTGTTTTGAGTGACTGTTGCAAATGTGTTTTGAGGTCAGCATGCTGGGGGCTCTACATCTTAATCCAATTATTCACAAAATCTTAATCCAATTATTCTCTTTTTGGAGATTTTAAGTTACACAATAAAATACAAATTTTTTTTTTTTAAATATTTTTATCCACTCTATACCCATTACTCCATCCTCATTTCGTATGATTTAAAGTTAAAACTTTTCCCTCTCCATTGAAAGGATATTATCTTTAGGCTGCTCAGTTCTTTAGTAACTCCAGTTGCTTAATTAATAAATTAAAAATGAAGAAGAATACTTGTAGCTTACACCCTTCATCCAAAAATAATAAATGTGTAGACAATTTATGCTTTCATTATATTGGATAACAAAATGTTAAAGGAAAAAATATTTATCTATCTTAAAACTTTTTTTTAAAAATCACAGTTAATTTCGAAAAATTTTCAGTAAGACATTACTCTTTACTTCCTTTCGCTTACTAAGAAGTCAAATTTAAGTATCAACGGCCAGTTGGTTTGAATAAAAGGAATTTAATTCTCTTTTAACAAGATTTTGAGTTTGAATATTATGAATAGAAAAATAAGTGCCGAGAGAACTTCATCTTGAGGTCTGACGTGATTAGATTCTAAATTAATCCAAATTCAATGTGGTTATCAAATACTGTGAAGTTAATAAAAAAATAATAATAATTTAGGTGGGATCGGCTCTCGCCCAAACAATCCCCATAAAAAAACATCTATGGGCGCAGGCTCTTTATGTGCCGAGCCCAGCTTTAGCGTCGGCAAATACCTGAACCGGCCCACATCTTTTTTGCACCTCTCCATCTTCGCCCGTTCTCTCTAGTTTACTCCCACATCTCAGCGAAATCTCCTGCAATTTGAAATTCTCGCGAAACAGCGATCTACAGCTTCCTCCAATCCAATCCAATCCAATCCAATCCAACAATGGAGAATCCGAAGGTTCAGGAGGTACCAAAATATGCAATACACACATCCTCACTTCTGCATGTCTTCAGTTCCTTTCTAATTTCTCTACTGTCATCCTCCAGATCCTGGAGAAGCAGGTGCTGACAGTGGCGAAAGCCGTCGAGGACAAGATCGACGAGGAGATTGCGGCGCTCGATCGCCTTGACCTTGACGATCTGGAGGCTCTCCGGGAGCGGAGGCTGCAGCAGATGAAGAAAATGGCAGAGAAGCGTAGCCGTTGGATCGCCCTCGGCCACGGGGAGTACTCCGAGATCGGCTCCGAGAAGGATTTCTTCTCCGTCGTTAAGGCTAGCGACCGCGTTGTTTGTCATTTCTATCGTGAGAATTGGCCCTGCAAGGTACTTGCTTGAACCAAATGAAACTTCATTTGCCGTCAATTTTGTTTTGTGGTTTGGTCTCTTGCTTTGGTTAGGGTTCTTGATTCATTGTTTTTGAAGTTAATGTTTTGAGTTGGATCTATGGTTCTTTTCTACTCTATGAATTAATGATTTGAGTGCCTTGTGTTTTTTGTACGAAATATCATCTCTTTTGGAAAGTTGTTTTCTTCACGTTTGTTAATCTTGTAATGATCATCTGAAGGGAATTGGTTCTTATTTCTATGGATTTTTTCCTCAAAAGTTAGTTGAGTGGGCTGATTGATGTTAGGGAACTAGGTGTTGGTGCTTGTTATGAATCACGCACTACTTTGCAGAAAGATATATTTGGTGTCTCGGAACAGTTGCAATAAGAGAAGAACATTTATTAAGGAAATGGATTAATTGGTTGATGGAGTCATGTTAGTTGGCTTAGAGAAACTGGGCAAGAAGGTTATTTTACTATTCTGACACCACTTGCTACCCAAATGCCATTCTATCAAACATATGCTAAGAAAATTAATTTAGTGTGATAAATCCAAGTGAAATACTTGAAAACTGGCAATTAAAATTTGAACCTGGTTATTTTGAAATATGAAGAATGATTAATGAAGTCTGATATTGATTTCAGTTTCTATTACTTGCATAGTCCATTAACTCAGGTGCCTACGGAAGCCAACTTTGTTTGGGTTGAGTTGGTGTAAAGGCATTAAACTTGTTATGCGGCATACTATTGCTGAATATTGTTATGCAATGGGGGTATAGATAGCTGTGACGGGTGTAAACTATGCCATACTGTTATAGATGCGGTTATCATAATTATGGTTTCCTTTACTCTTGAGGGGAGGGGAGGGGAGGGGAGGGGCAGGGACAGGGGCAGGATCTGATTTGGCATGCAACTTGGGGAATAATGATAAAGATTCGGTCTTTCATCAGTCAACATATAATCTCAGAGGCCACCTGTTAACAATTTTGTGTCTTCAATGCATCCAAATGTTTGTTTGGCCGTATAATGCACTTTCTAGCAGACATGAAACTCTGGAAACAATTTATGTTTACAGATCATTTGCAGGTGATGGACAAACATATGAGCATATTGGCAAAGCAGCACATAGAGACACGGTTTGTAAAGCTCCATGCTGAGAAAAGTCCTTTCTTGGCTGAGAGGCTCAAAATAATTGTTCTTCCAACCCTTGCCCTTATAAAGAATGCTAAAGTGGATGATTATGTGGTATGTATTTAGAGCATGAATTGATATGGATGTGTCTTTGGCTGCAAATTGTACTAATCTGACCATGTTAATGTCTTTTAGGTAGGATTTGATGAGCTTGGTGGGACAGATGAGTTCAGCACGGAGGAATTGGAGGAGAGGTTAGCTAAAGCACAAGTAATCTTTTTCGAGGGTGAATCGTCTGCAAATGCATCGAAGTCTGGTAAACAAACCAGGAGCGTCCGGCAAAGCACCAACAATGACTCATCAGATTCTGACTGAATTGACCTTCGTTTTTGTAATCCATTTGTTGTTTGGTTATTGTCTGTCGTCTCTACATCTTAAGTTAGAACTCCGGGTATCTCCAGCCTCCAAGTGGCCATATTCGCTCAGGCTTGTACTTTAAATGCAATTTTGTTGTCATTATTTGTGAAATCTATGTTTTGTTAATGAAAATTGAAAATGTTATGCCATAGCATGGGTTATGTTCTGATTGCTGAGATCCTTAAAACTTTCTAAAATGATTAATTTGATCCAACAACTATTCACTTAACCCAAAAAAAAAGGAAGGGCTCAGGCTTGTATTTCAAGCTGAGATGGATGGAGAGCGATTTGAAAACTAAGAAGGGGCAATTGTGTTATTCAATAGTCCGTAGTCCATCAGATGTAACAAAGAAACATAAGCAAACGCGACGAAGTATACTCTCCAACCTTTATGCTATTTCTCCCTAGGGCACACACTGGACAACAACTTTATTCTTTGAGCAATACACTTCGCAATGCAGCTGAAAATGGACTCTTCGCTGATGGGAAACCAATGCATCACATAATAGACAATGGATATCCTAAAAGCCACAAAGCTACACAACAAACAACTACACACACCTAATATAGGAAATAAGTCTTTAGTTTTTAACTAATAGAAGAAGAATAGAAACACTGCGTTTCTAATTATCTCAAGAGAGATAGAACTTGACGCCTGCGTCCTTTGATCCTTCCCAACACCTTTTCACCAAAGGGATGACTGTGCAAAAGTGGGTAATTACTCTCAATACGAGAAACCAGTATACGACGAAGTTCTCCCTGCTTAAACAATAAGAGCTCCATGGTTAGAAGAGGGGCAACATATCTTATATTCCAAGGAACCAAGCAAGGGCGCATTTTTTTCTTTTACCTTAGACGCAAGCAAGGCCGTTTGAGCAACAAAGTTACCGTAGTTATCCTGAAGAACCTTTACAAAGTTTGGATGGTTCATGATTTCGTTGACAATCCTAGCAGTGATATCCATTGCACCTCTTTTTGAGCTCCATATCAAGAGTTTCTCGACCACATTGCTAGCATACTTGTTCATGGAAAGACTCACAAAGTTCCCTTCCAGCATTGCTGCTACATTTTCCATCACATAATCATAACAAGGTTCTTCCATATCTGCAATAGAATACTGCACAACATAGTTCCTGAAAAATAGAGTTAAACACATCATCATCATTATCATCATCTTGTGTTACTTGTACATATATAAGTGGAAGAGAAGTAGTTAGAAATTTAGACAGACCCAAATTCATCCTCGGATAAAAGCAACGCATTGGCTGTTATTTCAGCCAAAATACGCTCCTTAGCTTGGGGTTCAGCATATGCTAAGCATCTTTTCAACACACAGCAACCACTCCTGTTTGTGGCAACCTCAATAAAGTGATCTACTAGATCATGCACAATGTTCTACATTAACATCCAAAAATTTTAGTCAATTCTAAAGCCTTTTGTCTGGAATTTTTTTTTTTTTTTTTAAAGAAGCCTCCAAGAGAGAACATAACATTAAAAAAATGCACGCAAATGAATCTTGCCTTTGTATCTTCTCCTGGGAAATTATGGATGCATTGGTCAATTACATGATAGGCACTAGTGTTCAAGGCAAAAGGTCGAGCCACTGATCTCAGAACAGATAAAATGAGGGATCTTTGATACCTTGTAGAGATGTTTTTCACCAATTCTTGAACCGAACGAGTTCTTTTACAGATGAAGAGAGCAAAATTGTTAGCATCAGGAATCTCAATCATTTTTTCTCTATATATAGAAAGAAGCAAAACACAAAGATTATAATTGTCTGCAGAACTAATTAAACTTGATTCTTACCCGTGCATGTCCATGCATAACTCTTTAAATCTTGCTTGGGAACCAAGGAAGGTGAAGAGAAGTTGGGAAATTTGGTCCTCCTTGCAGAAAGCAAAAAACTTCTGAACAATATAATTGGCTGAATGGTGTACCGAGAGCTCAAGCAATTGATCTTTCACCTCCAAGAAAATTATCTCAAGTTCTTCAGGCGTCATGGTACCATTGCTGAATTTTGCCTCCAATAATTTGCGTCCATTTTGATCTTTTGCCAAGAAAGCCACCCTGCCTCTTAGTTCCTCTGCATGGAGCTGCAGCTGATGATGAACTCGACGATTGTTCATGGAATGCAGAGAAGAAAATGGGTTTTCAGACCCTACCCCACTAAAGAATCTTCTCCGGGGAGGAATGTTCATCCTGAGTTCGGCAGGATTTTGACTCCCGTGATACAATCCGTTAGAGGAATTTTGTCGAACACTAAAACAAAATTGTTCACAGGAATTAGAAAAGGGTACTGCAGAAAAATTCGAAGACCCTATCAAATCTTGGCTTCCATTTTGCATGTTTACTATAGAACTAGATAAAGCATGACCAACATTCATCCATGGAGAAACTCGCCTGTGTGCAGACTCTGTTCTCATCGTCTGCGGAACACTATTTCCTCTCTGTTCTTGTGGAATAAATACATGTCCAAAATCCGAAATTGCAGAGGGTGAGGAATCAGGAAACCAGTTGTTTCGATGGAATTGAGAGTACTGGGGAGTAGAAAGAGTACTAGAAAGACTCAAACGATTCATGGAACGCTCAAGAGTTTCGCCAATACCTACACTGGCTGCAGGGAACATGGAATATGGGTTTTCTTGAGGAAGACGGTGTTGTAGACGAAAATATGGATCAAGATTACTTTGTTGTGATGAAATTGTGGGTGGTGCATGGATTTGGAAGGCTACAGGGTCCCAGGAAAAGTGATTTTCAAAGGAAGAAAGTTGGTTTTCCGAAGGACAACATCCGATCCTCCTGTGTCTGCTCTCCATGGTGATCAACCAAGAACGACAGACTGACTTCGGACAAAGGAGAGCTTGAACCGGTGGATTCGAACTTTCTTCAACTTAAAGCATCCTGCCTTTTTCCATGAAGGGAAGAAGAGATCTAAACCGGCAGAATATTGGAAGGTGTCGTTTGAAGTGTTGGTATATATGAGGGAGAAGAGAGTATGGTTTTGTAGGGTTTTAGAAGATTTGTTGGGTTTCTTTTGTAGTTGTTTGCTATTGGGGAACAAGGGTTTAGAAGAGTTTTAATTTAGTTCTATCGAGGTAATGGGATCTTGAGATTAATATATATATATATATATATATTGCGCTTTATTATGTATTTAATTTTTAAGATTTTATTCTCATGAAAAAAACATAATTTTCAAGATTATATTGAGAGAGAAAAGAAGATTGAGGAAGTAGAATTTGAATGAAAAAGGTAAGATTCTAACAGGTTAAATCAGGTTCGGAGAATAAGAAATTTTAAGATTTTTAAAGAATTTTAATTTTTAAGGATTCTATGATCCACTACCATACTACCTTTCATTGAATTTATGAGGGTTATGGTTAAAATACACAAAATTTGATTCTATTTATGATAAAAGAAATATGGAGGTTATTCTTTATTTATAAGCAGCATGGATGTACGATTATGTGAATCCAAAGTCAAAATGTTCTTTTTTGAACTTGGGTAAATTTTGGAGATGAGGGATGAATTGTTTGGGTTTTGAAAATCAAGACTTCAGGTGCGTTTAGAATTGTTGTTGGAAGTTTTGTTTGTTTTTTTATTTTATTTTATTTTATTTTTTTATACAGTATTTATAGATTTATATATGATTGGTAATTTTTTTAAACTATTATTTAAAATACTATAACAAATACAATAAATTTATCATAATT